ACCAGCATCTGGTGTTTATATTCTTGATGATGGTAGTTTTAACTGAGTAAAATGGAATTTCAGTGTTGTTTTGATTTGCATTTCATTTATGGTCAGGGATGCTGATCATTTTTTATGTGTCTATTGGCCATTTTTACTTCTGAGAAGTTTCTATTTAGCTCATTTGAACATTTGTTAATTGACTTGCTCATTCTTTGAGGGTTTAGCTTCTCTTTGTATATTCTGGATATTAGACCTTTCTCTGATGCATAGCTAACAAAGATTTCTCATTCTGTCGGTCTTTTTAGATTTGCTAAGTGGAAACTTCTTGGTTTGATGCCATCGCAAAAGCCTTGCTTTATTCATTTGTCAATTCTCTCTCCAATTTGCTGGGCCCTTGGAACTTTAGTCAGAAAGTACCTGACTGTGCCAAGCAGTTCTAATGTTTTATCTACTCTTTTCAGTAGTAGTTTCTGGTCTTACATTGAGGTCTTTAATATTAGTACAGGGTTACAGATGGGGATCCAGTATCCATTTTCTGTATGTGGATATCCAGTTTTCCCAATGCCATTGGTTGTTTTTGGCTACCCTATCAAATTACATGGCTTCATGCCTGTAGGTTTACTTCTGCGTCATCTATGCTGTCCCATTGGTCTTCTGGCATGTTTTCTGTTTGTTCTTATCTCTGTGGTTGAAGTTAGAGAAATATTTTTTCAGAAAATATTGCTGAATAGTTGGTGTGCAAAAATGCTAAAATTGCCTTAATCTTAAGACTTCCCAAATAAACTCAATTGGATTCTGAAGCCTGGAAATAGCTATACAGTACCTATTCAATGGAAGAACATGAAGTCCACGATAACCATTCTGGTTGGTTTAACAATTAAGAAAATAGCTGGCTAGAGCTCAATTCCCTTTAGAAATGAATTAACTTCATGCATTGAATATTAATGAGTATCCACTATGTTCCAAACACTTTATTAACAATAGAACTACAAAGAGATAAAGATGGGTCATTGGTTTGAATCTAGATCATTGGCTTAAGAACATTGGTTTCCTGATCTACATGTTACTTAAGGTAATGGAAAACGCAGACATTTCTCTATTGTGTTCTTTTTTTTTTTAAAGTGAACCTATATATGTCTGTATAACCTATGCGATATTTATTTCTTTTTCTTTTTTTCATTGTGAAAATACCATACAGATGGGTTACAATTACATGGGCAAGATAATGAGTACATTTCTTATCAAGCATTATTGCTTCCTCCTTTGTTTCCTCTTCCCATCCCTTCCCATTTCCCCCCCATACCCCCCCCACCAAAGTTGTAAAGTTCGTTTTTCGACATAACGATTTGTACATTTCATTGTTGCAATGGGTCCAGTTGTATCCCAATTTAAACGATTATAGCTTTATATTTATGGATTGTACATACAAATCAAGTATTTACTAAGAATATAATGAACATTTCTTTACCACTATGAGCATGGATATAATATCTTCAAGTTGTTTTGAGTATATAGGCTGTTCTTCTGTTTAACCATACCTCACTATCACTGTATTTTTAAATGACCCTTTTACCTAAAGCCAACATTAAATTTATTCTTTCTATTCTATTTTATTCTTTCTTATTCTTTTTCATTAAAACACCTCAAGTATAGCTTTTATGTCATGATATTCAGCAACAATGAATATTTATTTAATCTAAATAGGTTGAAATTGTGCTAAGTAATAAAGATCCCTGAAGATTTACTGAAGAGGGGCTGGGAAGGTGGCTCAGTGGTAGAGCGCTTGCCTTGCATGCCTGAGGCCCTGGGTTCAATTCCTCAGCACCACATAAGCAAAAAGAAAAAAGCCGGAAGTGGTGCTGTGGCTCAAGTGGTAGAGTGCTAGCCTTGAGCTGAAGAGCTGAGGGACAGCGCCCAGGCCCAGAGTTCAGGCTCCACGACCGGACCCAAAAAAAAAAAAAAAAAAGATTTACTGAAGATAGGCAGATTGCCTATTGGGTCATTATAATTATTTTTAAAGTTTCATTTCTTAATGAAAATATTGTCAATTACATATCAGCATTGAGTTAACAACTAATGTGAGTCTCATAAATCTTTTCTTTTGTTTTGTTTTCTTCTTTAATAGTGCAAGGGTGTGACTAAAATCTGTCATTACATAATGGCTCTGCCACCTGATCTTCCGGAAAGACATACACAAATTCCAGCATTCTTTACTCCTGGGGAGAGACCTCCTAGGGTGCAAGTGGTAAGCAAATTTAAATAAAAATTTAAAGTTAATATGGGGATTTCATAAAAAATTTATAACCAGTGATCATTCAAGGTATTGTTGCTTTTAATGTTTCCCACTAAATGCAGTATACAAAATAATAAAATGACATCTTTTTTCCTACAAACTCAATAATCCCCAATGAATGCATCATATACTGTCTATTTAAATAACACTGTATATTTAATCCCTTAAGCATTGTTGAATTTAAATGGCTGCAAATTTTGAGGTATTGAAGGTAAAGTTGATATAATTACCTTTAATAAGCAGTGTATTTTGAAGGATTTTAATATAGCCCTAAAATTCCAACTATCAAGAAAATTTATGATTAAGATTACTTGTATCTTAATGTTATATAAGAGGAATTCTACTAAATGAAATTCTACACTTTTACTAATATTCAGCTTTAACTCTTATTTCTGCTAAAATTTTTCAATGAAATATAATTTTCTTTAAGTGGTGAATGTTCTTATTATATGTTCTCTATATTTCCATTGTTTCATTCATTTCTTTAGTCATATTATTAAAATCAATTCTCTGATTTGGAAGTATTAACTTTTCAGCATAGACAAATGCAGAAAATTTCTAAAAGCACTTAATTTTTTATTAATAATATTTGTGTATTTCCTTCCATCTGTCTTCTGTTCATATTTTAATATATTTTAACATATACATAGATGCACAATTTGATAATATGAATGAAATGCAAACTGCCTGATATTACTTCATTGTAGACATTCAAGTTAATTTGAATTATTGCTATTGTAATTGTGAATATTTCTATGGTGCATGTAATTGTGTAAATTCATACATAAAGAATTTTTCTGGATTTGTTTATAAGTGGGTCATCATTGTCCCAAGGGTTATGAACACCTTTAACTTCTTTAATACATACTAAAAAATGTTTTCCTAAAGAGCTATGTCAATTTATACTTAATTTGTAGCAAATATGTATAACCAATTAACGATGCTTTTACTACTTTAAAAAATAGAATTACCTAAGCAAAATTGGTAATAATAATAATGTAATAATATTTATAATTTTTGTTTTCCTCTACTATAATTATGTTAAATATTTTCCTTGCATTTAGTTCCGTTTGGCTTGATTGCTTGTTCATAACCCTTGTTCATTTAACCTTCATGCCTTAATGATAAATTATGTGCATTATTCTATTATTAATATAATAGATACCAAATTTATCATAATAGTTTTCATAGTATACAGGAATAAGAAAGTTTTGAGGTTAGAAATACAAAGATTAATTTACTGAGAAATCAGCTTGTATTTTTAAACTGCGATATTAGTCCAATCATAATATGATTACATGTCTTTATATTCATGTCAGTTTCCAGAACACATTATAAGCAATTTAGTTATGGTTTACAACCCCCTCATCAAAAATTGGAATAACTTTCAGATTTCCTCCAAGAGAATGAATGGTTTTATATGGAAAGTTTTCAAGCTATGATTCAAAGTAACCCTTTAAATATCACACTATTTTCAAAATCATTTTCATGTTTGGTCAAGTCTGTACAGTTATCTATGCTTGCATAAGTAAAATCATTACAGTTGCATGAAACACTTACCTTGAGCATAAATAATTTGAAGTAGAGATGACAGTGTTGTTTGGGTAAGCTGGGTGCTAGTGGCTCACGCCTGTAATGCTAGCTAATGAGGAGGCTGAGATCTGAGCATCATGGTTAGAACCTAGCCAAGACAGGAAAGTCTGTGAGACTCCTATCTCCAATCAATCACAGAAAAAAACCAGAAGCGGTGTTGTGGCTCAAAGTGGTAGAGTGCTAACTTTGAGCAAAACAGAGCCCAGGGGCAACACCCAGGCCCAGAGTTCAAGCCCCATGAATGGCAAAAAAAAGAAGTGATTAATTAATGACCTGATTAAAAAAGAATGGATCTTTTAAATAAATATTATCTTATATTTTGGTTGAATTAAGAATGCCATGTAGCCTGTGTGCAAAATGAATATGACATTACATGCTGATGGTGATTTAAAATAATGATGAATATTTTGACTCAGTCACATGGAGTCATATAGATATTTAACATCATAAAATTACCCAAATCCAAAATATGTTAGGAAATACATTTTATAAATTTTGAAGCAAAGAAATTTGAATATAAATGGATGTGTGAACTAATTTTCATTAAAATCTCACTTTACCACTGATTGCCCAGATGTGAACTTGAACAAACAATTCTTCCTCTTTAATCCTTAGTTTTCTCATATGCAAAATGCAGAAATGAATGACCACGGAAGCCATTTCTGGCTCTATGAATCAAATATGACTTAACAGTCCCAAATCTTATTCCTTTCCCTATTGGCCTCTCAAATAAATCATTAAGCAGTGCATATATTTGACCTACAGTTAATTCCCAACATGAAAATGGATTGTTACTGATTTTCAGCAAAACATTTGTTTTGTAGTATATGGGTTCTATACTGTGAGCAATGAGGGTGGTAGGAATTTGAAGGATATCAAATGAAATTCTACCAGCTGTTGGTCAAGCACACTTACCAGGGATTGGAAGAGTCCAAACATTATAGAGTTTGGGGGTCCCTGTTTTCAAAAAAATTGTGACTACAAAATTATGTACAAATTGAATTTTGGAATGAAAAAAATCACAAAAATGAATTTACGAAGCTGACAGATATTGCAAACACAAAATACTCTCAGGGCCTTGGAAGTGGCCTATTCGATAGAGGGGCCTTAAAACTTAAGGTTTGTTGACGTCATGATAAATTCATCTCTGGAATTTGGCATGTTTTCCTCTGCGTACTTCTTTCTGGATCCACTCCTTATCTTTAACAGTTCTTCTCACTCCATGGACACAAGTAATGTGAATGAAGAAAACAACATTGGAATTCAAATGTAAATACTATATAGATACGGCTTTTGTGTCAGCAAGGAATTACCAAGCCAGTATGCTTCCCTCTATATCAAGTGTCTGAATTATTCTTGCTATATCTTCGTAAGCACTAACCATAAAGGTGTAACCACTTTGGGATGGATGAAAAGGTTAGGAAATACTTTTATTTAGAGGACTAAATAAACCTACCCACAAATGTGGGCCTTTTCCAAAAGCATTTAGAAAAACTAATATGTTTCCCATCCCATCTGGAACCATGATTTCACATCCAGGGAAATGTACTGGCACATTGGCATCATCTCTACCAACATCATCTTGTCATACTCATCTTTCATCTAGGATGCCTTGCTTCTTGTATTTTTGTGCACTTGATATGTGGGTAATTATAAACATTGATTTGATCAAGCATCGTGAAGATTTGAAATGTTTTCGTTTTGATAGCCCAAAAATTATTATGCAATTTGAGACTTGCATTGTATAAAGGCTTTTTATCCATTCATAGTTTCCTCTATTCTTTAGCAATCATCCAAAATACAGTGTTTGCTACATTGCAATCCTGTGTATAGTCAATGATTCTATAGTCAATCATGAAATCTATCATGTTCCAAGAAATTGTGAGATATATGCCAACCCTGATTTGAGCATCAGCAATTCTAAACAAAAATTAAAGACACAATCCAGGCACTTGTGGCTCATGCCTGTAATCCTAGGTACTCAGGACGCTGAGATTTGAGGATCGCAGTTTGCAGCCAGCCCAGGCAGGAAAGTCTGCATACTGTTATCTTCAACTAAAAACAAACAAAAAACCAGAAATGGAGCTGTGGTTCAAGTGGCAGAGTGCTAGCCCTGAGAACAAAAGCTCAGGGACAGCACCTAGGCCCTGAGTTAAAGTCCCAGGAGTGGCACAAAGAAAGACACAAAATTCAATTATACCTTTGAAATATAGTATGTAATGTTCTAACCAATAGATGCACAAATCAATCATTGTGCTATATTTAGAAAACTGGCTAATACTTAAAGTGATTTATCCAGAAATTATTAGCAAAAAAACCCAGTGTACTGCAAATAAAAAATGAGACAACTGTATTTATCTAATCAAAACAATTATCCATTTTTAATGTACAAAATTCAATAAGCTACTCTGCGGACTTATCTGTTTGAAAGTAAATCAGTAGTGGAGTAATTTCCAAGTGGAAAAATACTATAAAATATTTACAAAACACGTTTATATTTTGAAAATTACATGTCTACAAACCATTTTCATTGTAAAATCACATCATCTAAAAGCAACGTTTTGTGTCTTAAAAAAGTGTCAGGAGCTGGGCGCCGGTAGCTCACACCTGTAATCCTAGCTACACAGGAGGCTGAGTTCTGAAGATCGCGGTTCAATGCCAGCCTGGGCAGGAAAGTCTCTTATCTCCAATTAAGCATCAGAAAACCGGAAGTGGCGCTGTGGCGCAAGTGGTAGAGCACTTGCCTTGAGCTGACAAGCTCAGGGACAGCGCCCAGGCCCTGAGTTCAAGCCCAGTGACTGACCAAGAAAAAAGTGTCAGGAAATATCTTAGGGAAATCTGTCACTGAGCTCCAAAATGAGGCTTGTTTTTCTACATTTAGAAAACAGGTTTCAGATTCTATCTGTTCTTGTGTTATGATGGCAATTAATGAAATAAGTTGCAAAATGTTTGCGCTTGTATGATCATCTCTGCTCAGAAGAAACTTTGAACCACTTCGCTGACATCTTTTTTTCCATTCAAGTGGCAGGACCCAGGAGATGAAGTAGGAATCCACAATCAGACACTTGGCTTGTTGTGTTCTGAATTGAAGTAATCCTTTGATAAATTATCCTGATGTATTTGTTCACAGCAGTACCTAGTCTGGGTGAGATAGTTGTATTAAATTTTCATCATTAGAAAGATGCTTTAGAATAACTTTAATTTGAAGAAGAAACAGATTTGGAAATCAGATTATCCTCTCCTGTTTTGCTTCCCTTCTTTTTCCCACTCCATTTCCCATCTTCCCTACTTCCCATTTGCTTCAAGTGTAATATGAGTAGTCACTGGACTACTCACTGCCTTTCTTCGATGTAAGTTTTCTCCAGTGACATATGGCAATATGTTAATTTTATGAACAAAATTTTGAAGAATATCCACCATCCTAAAATGTAAACACTGAAAGACCCAATCTCATACATTTTGTTCTAGTGAATACTGATTTTTTATTTCATTTTTACTCAATTTTCGAAAGGCTGCATGTGTATGATGAACCAATAATAATTACCAACCTCGTAATTTACTTTCACAATCATCCTTTCTTTTGGAATGCATACCATCATCTCATTTGTTCTTTAAAATAGGCAGGAACCATACCCATTTTAAAAATTAAGAATTTGAAGCAGTGATGTACAGTATACCCCCTCTTTATTCTTGCTTCTCACTGAGCTCTATCAAGGTCAGTCGGATCATCAATATTACTTATTTGTTGATTTAATCATCTGTGGTCAGCTGTCTTGCTTCAGAATCTAAATGAAGATTTCACCAATCTCCGACCTTATGACCTTTCTTCAGCAAAACTATCAAGCCAATCAGTTATGAACTTTTTGGGAGTATCTCCAGCAATAGTGAACTTGGTATTCGTGGATGAAAACAACCAGACAAGTTTTTACAAAATCTTCAAAGACAATGGAGAGCTCAAAATCCATAAAAACTATGTGGACCTATATTTGGGGAAAAAAAGGAAAATAAGACTATAAACCAATACAAGCCAGAAGACAATGATGCCAGAATTGTTGCTTATTGTTTTTAGAAATGAACTAAAAACATTGGAAGAAAATATCTGCCAACTTAAAATCTAAGTCTTTTAAAAAATACTCTTCATGAATGAAAATGAATAAAAATATTTGGACAAAATGACAGTTCATTATCTGCATACACAACTAAAGGTCATTCTTCAGCAGAAGAAAAGGGATGGAATCTCGGATGGAATGTTGAAGATGCAGAAAGAGCAACAAAATGGTAAATATGTATGTAATTCTAAATGATTATTGACTATAAAATAACAATAGTAATGATATGGGACTTAAAATATATTTGTTTCTATAGTAGCAAATAAGGAGAGGGAGGTGGGCAAGTGGTGATTACATGTTCTAACATCATTGACTTATTCAAGGAGTGAACAAAGTACTTTGAGAACCCATGGATGTTTATGATCTTTACTAAAAGAATAATGAAATGATGTACTATACCTATCAGTAAACATAGGCAAAATGGGTAAAATAATCCAAACCAAAGCATGCAGGAAGAGAAAAGAAAAGAAAATGAGACAGGAAAACTGGAAACCAAAATTTAAGGTATTAGATTTAAGGTGAAATATCATTTACAATCTTAAGTGTACATAGACTAAATTGTTCAATTGAAAGCAAAAGGATGTTATGCTAAGTAGGAAAAAAACCTTGGGGCCCATTGCAAGACAAATGCCTAAAACATAACAATGTACAATGTTTAAAAGTAATATGTTAAGAAAAGCTATACCATGTAAACAATTACTAAAAGAAAACCAAAAAATTGAGCTATAGATTTTGAGAATAAAAGAAAAACTCTACTAGAGAGAAACATGAATATTTTATAAGATAAAATGTGTTTCATCAGAAATATAAAATTTTGAATTTGTATACATATAATTATAAAATAACCACAAGTTAAAAGAAAAGGAGTGAATCTCTTCAAAATAATAAAATTATTCCTATCCACAGCCAACATTATGTCATTCCTTTAGATATAGAGGAGGATATTTTGCTGGGTTTCTAAGTGTAATGTGCATATCCTCTCTTGTTTTCTACTACTTGTATCTTTTTATTTTTTCTTGCCTCAACTTTTCTTCTCAATTCATGTGTTCTTTCAATTCAATGTGTAGATATTCTCATCTCTCCTATCCTCCACCAATAGAAAGCAATTCTTGATTATACTTCTTTTAATTGTTTAATTGTTCTTCTCCTGCACTTCTGAGCTAAGATTCCTAGGACAATAAATGGAAATTTATTGAAATTCACAGAAATTGAGCTGCTTCTCCAATTGTACTGAATCTTCAGTTTTCATCTTACCTGATTTATTTGTAATGCAAGTGTTCATTGCTTCTTTGAAACTCTGTCTCCCATTGTTTTGGTGGACACTATGTTCTGTGAAGTCTTCTCCAAGTTACCTGATCATATTCTTGGTGCTTTTCATTGGATTCAGTTTGTTTATTCTATATGTTTCATTTTACTTATATATTTGTCCTGAAACTTTTGTTTTCTACTACTCCCTCTGCATCAGTACATTTCAAGTTATATGCTTTAGACTCTGTACATCAGCATCATTTAGAGACATTTGTTAAAAATGTAAAATCCTAAAAGGTACTACCACATTTGAATCAGAATTTGAAGGGTTCAGGGAAGAGCCCAAGAATGTACAATTTTTAACAAACTGTTGGTGGTTCGGATGCTTACATTTTATAGACAACAATGAATAGGAAAAAACGTATTATCTCCGAACTAGTAATTAATACTTTGTTTTCTTAATTGTTCAATATTGAGGATTGAACTCAAAGCCTCACACTTGGTAGATCAGTATTGTATCACTAGTTTGTTTGTTTTGATTTTCAGATAAGGTCTTTTTGAGCTAGTCTTCAATCTTGATCCCCCTCCCAAACCCTCCTAAATAGTTGGGATTGCAGATGAGAATAAGTATTTTAATTGAACTTAAATGGTTAGTTTTCAAACATGTCTAATGTTTTGGGAAAATGAAAACACATACATAGATAAATGCAATTTTTCTTTTCCATTATGAATTTACTTTATCATGATTTTAGTGCTTGGCAAAGCCCACACCAACTCAAATTCATTGGATATTTCTGATGGAAAGAGATTGTGTAATACATTTTCATAGTCACTTGTGCAAAACTCTCTAGGATAGAACTTATATGTTCATGTATGTATTCAGAGGCACATTAAAAGGGAACATATGTTTTTTATTGGCTCTGACTAAGTTTTGTTTAATCTTATTTCATTTTACTTGGCACATTATATTTAATCATTTTCCCTACAAAAATATACTCCAATACTGATGAGCTTAATCTAAAGTAAGTGTTGTTCTAGTATTCATTGTATGAACATATTTGATTTATTTACACATTGCAATATTAAAAGGAGCTTGATTGTGTGGATTAACTCCCTTTATATATACTAGTTAATTCATATCCTGTTGTTTCTTAAGGGGCATATACCCAGACTGACATATGACAAGCTACATATAGTCATTTACTGCTCAGTAGGTTTTCTTTTTTTGTTTAAAAAATATTTATTATATTTAAATTGTACAAAGGAATTTCAAGTCAACATATCAGTTTGTTAGTATAATGCATCTTGGTTGGTGTCATTCCTTTACCCATTATGTTTTTATTACATTTCTTTTGGAACTACATTTATTTTAGGCTTACAGTCCAGAGCTTCAGGCTTGGTGGGCAGATACTATTTCACTTGAGCCATATATTTAGCCCTTTTTTTTCCTGTGGTTGTTTTTTAGATAGGGTCTTGCTTTTTGCCAAAGCCAGACTAGACTGTGATCTTTCTCTTTTACACTTTCCATCAAAGCAAGGATAATAGGAATAAGCCAACACTGTCAGCATTTTCTTTTCCATTATTTAAATGATTGCGTTTAAATCTTACATTCACACCTGAACATATAGTATGAGGAACTTGTAATTTTCTACCTCCTATCCCTTGCAAAATAGTCCTTTTTTCATTCAGTAGGTTTTCTAGTGTATGTTTTCATAGACTACTAACTTTCTTCTACATCCTATATATCACTAATAAAACTAATACAATTAATGCTCAATTAAGATAGCTATTATACTGCTTATGTTACCTAAAGGCAAGAAACGGGAAAGAAAATGAATATGCCTTTAAATGTTCATCAACATTTGCTTTTTAATCACCCTTAAATACCATATTTTGTACTATAAATATTAAACCTGATTTAAATAATCATCTACACATTTATCTATATAGCATTATCTAAACATATACTATATAAAGCTAAATAATCTTAAATTGTATTTTCCATTAGTTTTACAATTCAGCCAAAAAGGAAATTGATTATTGTTCTGTGGCACAGTTTCCTGGAGATGGCATTAGAAATATTTTCAGTGTTTGTGAAAAAGTCTAATACTTCTTCTATCAGCACCATCCATTATACATTGTACTTTTGTATATTCAAAACCTGTTGTAAAGTTTATTAGCTTATTGATTTATGCAAACACTGCAAAGAAGGTTGAGAATAAATTTTTCCAGTTTTATAATTGAAGAAGCTGAGGCTCAGGCTTGCCGAAAGGCAACTAAGGAAGTAAAAAGTTTAATTTAGACCTAGATTCTACATAAGAGCACAAATATGATACTTGTCTTTTGGATCTTTGCTTATTTCTTCTCATTCTATATAATTAATCATCTGTATTTCCATCAATGTTATTACAAAAGAAATAATTTAATTCCTCTTCATTGTATATTACACTAAATATATATGTATATGTGTGTGTACACACACACACACATATATATATATATATCGGGTGGTACTAGGCAGATGCTTAACCTATCTCCCATGAAAGTATGTCATAAAGCCATTATTCCAGAGGGCTCTATCTTACAATTATAGGACAAGAGGTATCTGTGTAAACAGGTACATCCTAGTTCCTCTTGTTTAATTACCACTATAGCATACTTTTTGTCCTTCTGATGTACTTATGTCTGACTAGCCATAAAAATGCAGTTTCTTTGGGGTATTTGGGTTTTTCTTTTTGAGAACTCCCCTGTCACATAAAATTTATAATATATAAAATTTTTTTCTCCTACAAGTACAAAATTTAAATCAATATGATGTAGTGATAATGTTTAAGGCTAGATTTAAATTGGGAGGAGTGTTGGAAAATGGGGAATAGATGTTAGACTATGTTTCTATGAACAGGTATGAAGCTAATATTGTACTTGTGACTCAAAATTGTAGGTAAATCACCTTATTGCTTGGAGACCTGCCTTCTTTCTGAGCCATTTTACAGCTTGAACCTAAGAAAGTACTTTGGAGATAACACTGGGCAAACAAATGGTCAAATGGCCTGAACCAGAGTTCCTTGGACTACTGGGAGTACATTTAATCTTGTCATAATAACACTACCTCCTCTTGTAATGTTTACCAGCACTTGGATGATTTTTGTTCAGTCTTCTGGACATTGTATTCAGCCAGAAACACAATGATCTATTATACCTAGAAAAATGCCTAATGGCTCAGTAGCTTACATGTATTCATTATTTATAATTTTCCTACAGACGAAATAGTCCTACAGCCTATATCGATGGGTAGTTTTGACAAGAATATAGTCATTGTCAAAGAATGGAAGATCATTAATTCATCCAGGAAATTACTGTTGGTGATAAGATGCTCATTAGAGGGCATATTGAAGTGCTAATGGGAGTAGTCCCTTAGCTAGACAGAATGGGTTTTTGTTATTTGGGACCAATATAAATTCTCTTTTTATTGTACCTTTGCATCACAGATAAATGAAAACATGTTACAGTAGGAAGACTATGAAAAAGGTCTGGCTTCGGGACTATTTTATAGAAATTCCTGGAAGCTAGTGCTAATAAGCCTTCTCAACATTTCCATCAATCTTTAGAGAAAACTTTTGGCAGAAAATAATCAAATCTGAAATTGTTTCTATAATCCATTAATGTAATATATTTGCTAAACATTGATTTTGATATTTTGAAATGTAACATAAAGCTACTATGTACTGCCTATTAGTTAGTTAAATGAGGAAAAGTTGGCTTATGAAACATAAAAAGGGTAATTTTAAAGATTAGACCACTATTTTCCTGGCCCCATCACTTTATATGTTTTCATTTTCATTTGGTAGTAAGCAGAAGATAAAGGACAAGAAAATGAACCAGTAATAGAGGCCTAGATAAAAGTTTCAGTATTAATGTCCTGATCAATTAACATTTTCAGCTTGAAAGAATAAAAAAGTGTTCCACGGACATGATAAAAGTTATTCTGTATAGTTACTAGTAAAAATCAGCAAAAGGAAAAAGTGGAAAAATAAGGAAGCTGAGATTTAAAATTTTTGCATACTATTCTCTCTGTACATTGCATCAGATTTAGAACATGCAGCTTTTAGGTATAATTTTTGTATCCTTTAAGAGTTAGTCATTTGATTCATTATGTTAGAAGAGTTTAGAAAAACTATTGAACCTCAAGTGCTAATCCTTTTTTTAACAACTAATTTATTTTGTATATTTGATGTTTAGTTTGCTTAACTTATTTTCCTATCCTAAGATTAGAGTAATATCTGCATACTTTTTATAAAGGTTGATCATTTTTATTAGGTACTTTATAACAATGTACAGACAACTGTTATTTTTGATGTTAGTAGATTTTACTTTGAATTTTCTTCTAAAATTGAAATCCAATTACATATCCAACATAGATAGAATTACAGAAAATTATAGACCTCTCTTATAGTATGTTGCAATTTCTAGTGTATCTTACACATATTTCCTTATTTGTTTCTCACTACAACAGGGTAATAATCTGAACCAACAGTATTATTCCTTTGACAAATGTGCCAACCAGCAACAATTGATCTTGTATTTGATAAACACTATATACACTCATATGCATTGCCATATGATCTTCACAATGACTCCATGAAGTATGACATTATAGATAACCTTTAAAGTATTTGTTTCTTAGAGCCTGTATTTTCTAGAGCTGTTATAACAAGTTATCACACGTTATATATTTTGGGTGGAGGGAGGGTATTCTCCATTCTTACTTGGATAGAATGTTTCTCTGTAACTTATCAGATTGAACTTGTACAGACATTAGTACTTTTAATAAGTCTTACACTGAAAACCTGAGCTTTCAGACTGAGTACTTGATTTGAACTCAATACATTAAAATAGATAGCTGAAGGGTCTAGAATAGGTTAATATCCTGAGAATTTTTGTGATATCGAATGCATTTCAAACCTTATTTTTTAATGAATAGTCCTAAATATAATTAATATCAGCAGGTTTTGGTAACCTACAAATCTTACACAAAATATTCATAGAGGCATAGAATTTTATACTTAGATAACTGCTTAAAATTATGCTGACTTCAAATATAATCTCAATTAGAAAATATTGTGACCTGATGATCCCTTATAATGTGCTTTTTAAGGAATTTCTTTAACTTTATTTTAATTTGATGAATAGTAGACCATACATGAACATTATTAGAATTTCTGGAATAGGTGATTTAATACAATCCATGTATTTTAACAATCTAAAATGTAGTAAAGAATTTTTTGTAAGTGTATTATGTCTAATTAACTAAATTGTTTGGACTTAGGATGTAGTTCAGTCATAGCATATGATAACCAAGCATGAGGCCCTGATTCAATCTTCAACACACACACAATCACACACATACACACACACACACACACACACACACACACACACTAAACTTAAAAAATAAAAGAAATTAAGATGGAAAGATAGTGGCCACATTGAAGGTGGGATAAATGGTACAAAGATTAACATAGAGAATTTCAAAGTGTTTTAATTTTCTTCCATTAAAAAATCAATTCAAGCAGGTAAATTATACATAACATATATATTGTGAGTATATGTGATCTATATTATATATAATTATTGTGAATATTATACTTAAAATGAAACATTGCTATTTGAAACAACATGGATGAAATTGGAGGACATTCATTTCTAAGTTAAATAAACCAGACTTAAGGATAAAAATACTGTTTGATTTCACTTATTTGCAGACTTTATGAGGATAATTAAATAGAAAATAGTGAGAATGATGGTTATCAAGGGGGCAGTGAGAGGAAGGAATAGAATAAGGCTTAACATATAAAAAATTCCCAATAGTTACCTGCTTATATAGTAACCACTGTATTTGTGTATAGCTTTTGATCTAACATTTTTTTGTGAAAATGTTAAAAGGATAATTGGATGTCTGAGTCTTTTATAAGCAACCATGGTTTCCTTTTTATAGCATATTAGACCACATACTTAATGACATTTTCACTTTATTTTTAGCCAGTTACCAATGAATCTGAAAAAAAATCTCTTTCAATGAAACATGGACCTCCAAAGTATAAGCCTCCAGTTCAGCCTCTATCAATGGTGAGTGAATTTATTTACAACAATGTAAGTACTGAGAGGTTCACCATAGAGGAAAATACAAATAAACTTTGACTTAAGAAACATTGCTTATGCAGCTAGCATTTAAAGACTCATATAAGGGTTTGTTTCTTTGGGTATTATGTGGATACAAATAATAATCATTCTACAATAGACTATATTTAAGACTATAATTTAAAGTTTCTCTTCAAAGTCTCAAAAGAACATTTCAGAATGAATTTTCAAAATTATTTAACAGCTTAAATGATAGTGATAACTATCTGGGCTCTTCCTTTTGTTGCAAATGTATGCTAGCCTATTTTCATCATGTATCCTTGTGCCATTTTCACTCATACTTCTCTAGCACATTTTCCATAACAAATTCTCCCAGCGTCTCCAGTTTTCAGTTGCTTTTACTAGCTTTTATTTCCATATAAGATGCATACATTCTTGAAAAATTTGATCAAATTTTCAACTTCACATCCTGTTTTTTGCTGACATGGAATCTACTAGTCATACTCTGTTCCTAGGGCTGCACATATAAAATGCTGTGACTTTTGTTGCTTTTTCTTGCCATTTTATTATTTTTAAAACTATGCTTATGTCTCCTCTTAGTTCTTTCTCTGCTTGGACAACTCTGACTGATTCTCCAACATTCACTTGAATTTTTTTTTTGTTTATTCTGATACTCTCAGATAGAATTAATGGTTCCTCTTTGTTGTCATAGTACTTTGTACATTGCACTGTTAAAAGGATTTATGATACAGTATTCTAGGTGATCCATACTGTATTTCCTATTGATCTTTGTATATTTTATAATTAACAATAGTACAATGAACATACTAGAAAATTATTTTTTGTTGAATAAATGAAGGGATGGATGGATGATGTCTCATTTTAAGGGAAGATCAGAAATCCATGAAAAGGTATGAGTAAACCGTCCCCTAGGCTCAGCGAACAGGACAACAAAATTATGAGAATTTTATGGTAAATATAGTGTAGTCTGGTGATTTTGTTGAGATATTTCCATATTTTTAAGGGATACAAGACCATAGCTTCTTGTCTTAATGAAACTAGGTCATTTATTCTTTCAGGATACACAAAATCAGCATACATTTTAGAATGCCCAAGGCACCTCTGACTAGTTTGTACAGCAATTACAATCCTCCAGCTATAACTTCCCCTTGATAAAGTAAATTTCCTGCCTTCACTAACATACTCACTCAATTACAAAAATTTTCTGTATGATACTTTTGAAAAATTCTGATTTTAAAAAATATAGGAAAAAATTGCTTAACTGCTTTAATAAAAGCAACTTCAAAGATACTATCTACAAATTTCTTATTCCCATATCCATGTAAGTTAACATAAAATATAAAATATGAAGGGATAATCATTTTGTTTAAGCACATCCATATTCAGTTCAATGTACAAAACAATTCTCTCATATAATATGTGACGTTATCTCAAATATAACAAAATACAGCTAATTATACTTATGTAAGGACCACATATTATCAATGTTATTGTAAAATATTTGAAAAGTAGCTGTAAAATTTATCTAACCTTGTCTTTCTGCACTGGAATTATGCACCGTAGATAAAATAGTGGCTTACTCATCTTTAAAATTTAAATGATTTAGCTGGGTGCCAGTGGCTCACATCAGTAATTGTAGCCACTCAGGAGGCTGAGATCTGAGGTTCAAAGGCAACTTGGGAAGAAAAGTTCATGAGACTTTTATTGGCAAATAACCTCAAAAAGCAGGAAGGGAAGTTGTGGCTAAAGTGGTAGAGTGTGTTTGTAAAACTGGCAACTAACAACATACTAGTAGTCATGAGAAACAGTTTGTATTATGTCAGAAGTTGTTTTACAAATTCAATCAGTGCACTCGGAAGTGCACTGATTTCTTCTAATTTAAAGGTCAGCCCCATGTTTATCCTGCCCATGTTAGTGGTTTGCATATAGTACTCCTACTGTATTTTCCCAATTACTGAATATATATTTTGTGTTAATAAATGAGTTCATAAGAAATTTAAGTTCATATTCAAATTTAAATTTAAATATTTAAATAACTTAAAGTAAGACCAATTAAGCCATATATTAATAGAATATGTTTTAAGTCTCTGAATTCCTTCCATAAAAGTGTACCAGTAACCAAGATGCCTTATAATCATAAACCACTTTGTTGAATGGCAATCCCTCTGTACAACTACTTAAATATATTAAAACCAATTTTTCAGTGCTTAGTTTAGCACATTTTTGAATTATTCAGATAGAATTGTGATGAACATTTAAAAATAATTATTGGTTTATGTAATCAATTATCTAATTTATATTTAATACATACAGAGTGGCATACAGAATGAATATAACACAAGGATGCAGAAGAAATGCTATAAATGAATTTTTTCTAATTGAAAATAGTTTGCAGATTAGTTATATACTTTTCTAAAGCATAACATTGTTAATCTAGAGCCATGGTCAAAGTGGCAGAGCTCTTGCCTAGTAAGTACAAGATCCAGAGTTCAAACCTCAGTCCTACTTTTTTAAAAGTGTAATGAAGGAAGTATTATGGCAGTAGCTTACACTATAATTATAGGTCCTTAGAAGGCAGAAATTGGGAAGAGCGTGGTATAAGGCAAACCTGATCAAAATTTGGTTAAGATTTCATCCAATAACAAGTTGACTATACGTTCCTGTAATCTCAACTACATGAGAAACCTAGGTATGTATTGAGTGCCTGTTATTTCCAAGCACTAGGCTAAATGCATAGAGTTACTTCATGTTACTTACATGTTCAAGTTTATATTCATACAAGAGGGGAGCCTTGGTTCTTATTTCAGGTGATAGACAATAGAATTATGATACAAGTAAGTTCTCTGAAGGGAAAATACAATCTGACATGAGAGTGTGTGTATTTAGACTTTGTTCTTATCTGAGGGAATTATAGGTAAGAACATTAAAGAAATGGTATTTAAGATGACATATGAAAAATAACATTGACATATCTAGGCAAATATTGATCTGAGTAAGTACTGCATGAGGGAACATGAATAGAAACAAAAGTAACTAAAGGAGTACTCTGGAAAGAGCCAGACACCTCAAAAGTCTGATATTTCAAGTTCTATGGAGGTGTTTATTCTAAAGGATGTCATTGAAGGATTTTAATCAAGGAAATATCAGAGTTACAATTTGCAAATGTCATTTGGGTTAAAATTCAGAGAAAGGATAAGAGCTAGGGCAACAGTTAGGGTCAAGGAAAGCAAATGTGCTCCCTAGATTTTAAATCTGTTTATGATATTGCCTCTCTTGTATCAAATTCTTGCCTACCTAGATTCAGGTAAGATTCTGTTCTTCAGATATTTTTAGTCACTTACTTTTAAAAATTAACATTGAATATATTGAGCATCTTCTCCCTTGAGAGAATTGGAAAAATCATTTAGAAAAGTATTCTGTGAAAATCCATGAACATGTAAAAGTTGGCTGTCAATATTTAGTGTTCTAACTTGAGACCTGAGGGAACTATTGGACACCTTTAAATATATATGTAAACCATAGAACCTTTTAAACAGAAGGGGAAATTTTATAAAATGATTAAACAATAATAGTAAGTGAAATGTTGAGCTATACTGTTTAACTGTTAAAGTTCTAAAGTAGTTCATTTTCATAAAGTTGTTTAAAACATTCAATAGCACATCTTAGTACTGTATTTCTAGACTCTTGATCCATGAGAAATGTTGAGAAATTAACTCATTAAATGTTGTTTAATAATATAAAATGAGTAGTTCATTTTAAGATGTAGTTTTCAAATAGGTCTCTAGTATATGGACCAAAGGCATATGTAATTATCAAAATTTTAATTAATTGCAAATATTCATTGAACGGGGGAATTCTAGTAAACTTTCTTCCTTGTGAGAAATGAATTTTTCTTTTTGGAAAGATCAAGTAGCCTCTTTTCCAGGATACAGAGTAAGGAAAACATTTCCATCTGCTAATATACTTTTATCTAAGGGTTAAACTTAGATAAATGTCCTATCCTTAGAAAAATATACATACATTCATACATACATAGTCTCTTAGAACCCAATTTTCATACCAAACACAAGGTAAAGTAGGACATAAGAAGCTGGCTCAAATTTCTTTATTTGTCTTTCTTTTTTAAGACGTTTTATTATAAAATATTGTACAGAGGGGTTACAGTTACATGAGCAAGGTAATGAGTACATTTCCTATTGAGCATTGTTGCCTCTTCCTTTATTTTTCCCCTACCATCCCTTCCCTCCCCACCTCTACAACTACACTAACCACCCCACTGACTAAATTGTAAAGTTTGTTTTTCAACATTGTGTCTTGTGTATCTTATTGTTACAATGGGTCAACCTGTATCCCTATTTATGAATTTTGTTTTTTCCCTTCCCTTCCCCAAATTATGCAAGTGTATATACCAGATGCAGGACACTGACATCAAATACAGTGAAAACAGGGGTTATACCGTGGGGGGGGGAAACATACAAAGAAAAAAAATCACATGGTACATTATATATACATTAGAAACAATAGCAAGAAAGAAAAAAAACCCATTTAAGTCCCTATCTTGGGGTTCACTTGACTTAACATCATCTTATCTGGTCATATGTACATAGCTTTTGACCTTTTCTGCTGGTCCCAGACATATGCTAGTTATTGCAAATAAAGGAAACCATGGGACCTATGTTGTTGTTGTTGTTTTTATTTTGTTTTCTTCTCATTCTGACATGCTTGTATGCATCTGTTCAGTGGTCAGAGCAGACATCTTTTAGCACTTTCTAGATTGTTTTAACTTAACAATTGAACAAAGAAACATGTTTGATATAGTAAAATATCCCACACCATTTTTTTTATTCAGAGCAGCTAGTTTGCCTTAAGACAATAGATTGTTTGTGTGATGAGTATTTTTAATTGGTTTCAGGAAACAGTAGATGAAGACTGGGTATATTGGCTCATGCCTGTAATCCCAGCCAGTC